ACATGATTTAAGAATATTTTGAAGTTGGAATAATGTCAATTTCGAGGATATTATTTAAGATATGAAATAAGAAGCATGCAAAAGTAAGAATTAGAGAACATATAGACAATGTAGACAGTTGCAAGTCGCGTACAGTTCAATAAAAAGATGTGAAGACTATGTATTAGAGAAATTATGCATTAAAAATTTCGTATGACGAAGGAAAATAGGTGTAACAATTTTTGGAAACCATAGGAACCACTGGTTACTTACTTTTTCTTCCTTGTTGGCCCCGGTTGCATAAAGAGTACCTCCGGGAAGATCAGCGGCCCCAGCAGCGTGAGGAGTACCTCCGGGAGAACGAGCGGTCCCGGCGCACAGTTGTCCGGATCAGATTTAGTGACATTCTTATGTAATTCCTAAATTATAGAAGATATCGGAATGAAAATTGTTTTCATAGCATTTTAAAAAATGTTTTTTTGAATTCGATTAATGTATTGCACTTTTTATTCATTTTTTAATCTTTTTTAATTGTTTTTAGCTTAATTATTGCACAAAATTTGTTAAACATTTCTCTTTTATTCTGGTCGGTATTTTTTCCGGTATTCATACATTCACGTGCTGAAAATAAAAATTAATGCTGAAATTATTATGTTCTGCAAATATTGCTAAGTATAAACTAGATACTTATATCATATCATACCATTGTTTCATATGATTGAACATTGATTAAATTAGTAACTCTAATGCATTTGCATCCAAAGTTTTCGCTTTCATTTTTGTAGGCATTTTTCTGCTGTTCCGGCTTCTAAATTTTTTAAAATCTTTACGTCGTATTTTTCGTGCTTTTTCACTAAGTTGGCCAATTGGTAATAATGCATATTTTATAATCTACACGCCATGCATGAGTAATTTATGCACTGAAGCTAACATATTATACCAGCCATAATGTTAAATATAATATTCTGCTGTATTACGAATATATTTCTGCAATTTTTCGGGATTAATAGGACGTTGAGAAGATATTGCGTGCAGGGTGTCCCAGAACTAGTGTTA